AATTGCAAGTTTTATTATAGAAATTTATGGTGCCTGCCATTAAAAAATACTCATTGGACACCAATGGGATACACCATATTTATCTGTCTTCAACAGTGTTTGAAAATGGGTCCTGAAATTTTTTTTGTGATAGTGGGAAACGATGCGCTGCATTTATTTTAAATGTCAAACTGTCAGGTTAGGTTTGATCCTATTCCTTGGTCACATATTCTTCTGTTCTATTATTTTTAGGGATAAATAATAATATCCATTACACGACAAGAATTACACTGTGAATCTTTTAATTAATCTTTTTGTTCTTGAATTGGAGCATGCACCTGCCGGCGTCCCGAAGCTGATGCTCTGAGAAGGGCCAATGTTTAATCCCAAGTGGACTACTCCAATTTTCGAATATAACCAATTAAATTAAAATAATTTATTTTATTTGATATAAGCTCATGTAATTCTCGAATTTAATTACCGGTGAATTTCTTTTTTCAGTACAAATAAACTGTTTTTTGTTTAAATTAAAATGGAATCTTAGAAAAAAATCAACATAAACACCCGTTAGATCAAACATTCAGGTAATCTCTTGGATTACAGAATAAAATGTAATCTTTTCTTATGTAGGAAATCTCACACCTTTTTTTCAAATAAAAATCTCAAGTTTCTAACCGATAAAATATATTCTACTGAGTCGAATGTGAAAATTTTGTTACAAATGCTAATATTTATTCATTTAATTAGAACTACTAACCAAAACATTTTACTTTTAAATGAAATAAAAAAGGAAAATTTTGATAAATATATACACGTTTTCAATGAAAGTAGCTGTCTTGATGGAAATATAGGCTCTGTCTTGGATTTGTTGTTAGGGGGATGATCAGTTCTAGAGATTCCAAGAAGGTATTTTCCCATCTTTCCATCAAACAAGACACGACCTGCTTGAATTAGTTAATAAGATTGCTCTGAAAAGCGCACCTTTTTATCTGATCTCTTATGGGAATAAAAGCAGAACCATTTACCAACTAAAGTATGTATATAGTAGCTTTAGATGTTCCTTTTTCCTTCTCAAAACTTGAAAACTCGATAAGTATTAGAAATAACCTTCATCATAAATTTAATTTAAAAATAACTTTTATTATAGTTTTAACTGTTTTTAAATAATTTTTTATATGATTGGACAATAATACTCTTTAAACCATTTATTTCAAATTAAATGGTCTCATTTTGTTCTATTCTGCCATTTAGATAAAAATTTCAAAATTAAATCTCGATTTCTCTATCTTACCATCCAACTCTGTAATCCCATCGAGATCTATATCGTCATCCAACTCTCTCACTATCCCAAAAAGTAAAGATAACATTAAGGTATTTCTTGAGTTTATTTGTTTATATTCATAAAACCCAAAAGTTGATGGATAAATTATATGACTTTGGCAACTTAAACCTGGCTAGGAGTAATGAAATCAATTAGTTATTAGGCAATTCATGAATATTTTTTAGGTGTTGCATTACTAAATATTAAGTACTATGTGACTGGATATTAAGTATTGCATGACTAATTGTTATGTATTACGCAACTTAAGAATTGCATGATTGATTATTAGGAACTGTGTAACCTGTTTATTTGACATTACGTTACTGAATATTAAAAAAATATGAGATTAGATAAGAGGCATTGCGAGGCTAGCTTTTAAGAATTTCGTAACTTATGCATTGCTTGACGAGAACAAACACAATGACTATCATGCAATACCATATAGATAAAATTCATGCAATGTCATACCTATAACACTCACTCACTTCCATATAGATAATAGTCACGCAATGCCTTACAGATAACAGTCACGAAATGCCTTTCAGATAATAGTCACGTATTGCCCTTTATAAATCGATCACGCAATGCAATACAATTAATAGTCATACAATGCCTAATCAAACAGTCATGCAATGCTCAATCAAGAGTCACGCAATGATTTACATTCAATTACGCAATGATCTATCAACAAGTCAAGTAATGCCAGAAACTCCTAAACTAATCACACACCTTAAGTGATGTCATGCCTAAAACCAACCATGCATAAAGTGCCAACCACTCATGCAAACCCTCAGTCCCCTAAACCCTTAAACCTAATTTCTATCAACTAGTCACGCATGCCTATCAACCAATCGTGCATGTCTTGTGATGAATATGACATCCTTTTTGTTTTCTATTCATTGAGATTCTCTTGTAAGTTTTGTTAAAAGATACTTTGGTAAAAAATTTCCTTAAAAGATTTTTTGTGAGATTTCCCTATATTCCCATAGATTTTGTGATCATTCATAAGGGTCAAAGATATATTCTTTATATTCTTTCAAGGCTTGCATGACTTTCTCATGACAAGGTTCTAGTGCATAAGGAAAGTAATGTAAACACATTTCAACATCTTATGATGGCCAAATATGATCTACTTCCTGTGGTGATGAGTTTTTTCCATAGTGGTAAGAGGAAAAATCATCGTAAAACTTCTACAAAATTGGCTCACCATGGTTCTATTGACCTTACCAACTAGTCACGTATGACCTATCAACCAGTAACACGTTAACCTGTGAAGTAGTTACGCAATATCAAAACCCTTAAACGTAATGCTTACACTAATTACGCACATCCTAAGTGGCACCATGCCTAAAACTAGTCATGCATAAGGTGTCAATCACTCACGCAAACTCTCAGTCACATAATACCTGAGCCCCTAACCCCACTTCTTATTAACAAGTCTCGCATGCCTATCAACCAATCACGTATGCCTTGTTACTGTTCGAGCCAAAAAGTATGAACAATACCAAATTCAAGTTTATATTCAACAATTCCAAACAACAAGAATATCAATATGAACAAGCAATATGACTACGTTTATACTTAAAAACCATAAATAAAGAATATTAAGAATAAGAATAGCCCTAAACCTTTCTCATCATGGTTAAAAATAAAAATATATGCCTATCTTTCTCCACAGAATGTTAACTTCCTTTTATTGCTCAAGATGTGAACTACTTTACATGAAAAACCATTCTAAAATACTTTGATCACTGTTAAAAATTCTCGACGGTTGACCCAGAGAGAAATGCTTTCAAGAGAATGCTTTGTAGAGAGATGTATGGTCTGTTGATAAGAGCTGAGGAGTTACAAAGTTTGTAAACATACTTGACCCAAACATATGGATCGGGTTGAGGCACGGAGTCAAACATGTAGATTAGTTTTATTAAGGGTAATTTTGTTTTAATTTTATTTCTCTTAGTTAAAAATAATTAAAATTATGAGGAGATTTATTTTCAAAAATACCTTATGCATGGGGCCTATTCTTAAAAAGAACTCTTAACATAACCTTTCCAAGAAAGATTGATTATCTAACTATATGTTTGATATGATATCAAATGTAGGTCCATCATACCGTTATCCCTTAGTTACATCAATTTGTTTTCCAATTGCTAACTTGTACCACTAGCATTTTTATAAGAAAAAAATAAATTATAATATATATATAGATAGATTTTATGATACCCCATGAAAAATCCTTATCATGAGTCTGACTCTCTTTGTTTCTAAAAACATGTTTTGAGGTTAAGATTTGAGATTTCAATTTAATTGAAAAGAGTGTATGCGATAAAATTTATGGACAATCTTATATCATCTGCATAGAAAATTTGCTTCCATAATTCCCACATTTGTAATTAGATTATAAAGTAAGCTTTTACCTGTTTAAAATATCCATTGCACCAACTTAGAGGTGCAACATATTACACTCTCGTCCCTACTTTTTTTAGTTTATTGTACATACTTTTCGATTTTTTTAGCACATTTCATTATATTTTGTTATATTTAATTTCATTTTTTCATTCAAAAATTTTTTTCTTTAAATAACTTATAAGGTCAAATTTTAGTTTATCGAGACAAAGATAAAATATTTTTCATATTTTTTAAAATTGAATAGCTTAATTATACTAAAGTGTAAGAAATAAAATGAAAATATTCTACAAACTGCTATTTTAATAAAATATTGAAGTACTATTGTCTTTTTTTTAACTATTATGACATGTGATTTATACTTAATGATATTTGATTTTCATGTGATGCTAAATACAATAATCTCTAATTTTTACTGATTTATATTAATTGGTAAATAAATAAATTATATTAATAATGATCAATTTTTTTTTATCACTGAAAATGAGGAAAATTGTCTTGTCCCATTATATACGTACTCAGAAATCGATTATGCGTGTCAAATATGAATATATGTTTAACACAATTGGTTCAATTTTTTTTATAATTTGAAACGTCATATATTTATAATACAAATATTTCATGAAAAATAAGAGTTAAAAACATAAATTGAAACAACTTGCAAATTAACGACGATATCATGCAATTGTCCTCTTGCTCCAACAGTTAAGAACTGGTTCCAACTTGAAAACATTGACGTGGAAGGAAGAAAACCAACCACCTTGGAAATGGAATATTGTGTGTGTGAAAGAAGACGCCCATCTAGAGTATTCAATAGCCAATTACCTATTGCCATGTAAGCCAAAGCATGGTTTCCCTGTAGCAGGGTCATTTGCAGCTCATCTGTTTAACTGTTCTCCATTTTCTGTACTGGTACTAGTATTTTATTAAGGACCCTCCCCAACTTGCTTCTCATTAAATAAATCTACAAACTCAAGGTAGCCTCCAATCAGCCCAACAAATGCAAAAGTTTAAGCCTGCAAAAACACCCACTTTTTCTGCTCTCTCTCTCTCGATCTGGAATGAAATTATTTTCAAGTTAATTTAGACAATATTGGTGCATCATCATTAACGTCACTCTTTTAAGAAAGAGCTCCTTCGCTCGCAACTTGCTGAGGTCTCTCTCTCAATTCCTCAGCATGATCTCTGTCATATTTATCTGTTTTGGCATTCTCTATCCAACCCTTTCCTCCAATCCTCTTCATCTCTGCCAATATCACCAGCTTTCCTTCTCCCATTTCCCTCAGTTTCCACCATGCCAAGAAACCAGGAAGTCGGTTGCTTAATTTCCCATTTTTCCTCTCGTCACAACCTCATGCATACTAATGTTCTTTCACTAATTCCATAGCTCTCTTTTCCTTTCAAGATATACGTACTGATACTTGTCTATGGTGCTTCCAGGTTATGTGGCCCAGATTAGTAGCTAACAAGATCCTTAGAAAGAGATTAGGGAGCAGCAACTTTGTCGCAGATTTTCCAAGCCACAAAGAAACCTTGTTGGAAATTCCAAGCTTAGATCAGCCATCCTTGAGTCCCAAGACCATATTCAGTCATCATAAAGATACACACAACTACAGGTAAGCAACAGCTAACCTATTCTTTATGCTTATATTCATTCCACTATCATATTAATTAACAAATTATTAATTTATTTGTATCATTATAAGATTTATGCTCATCCTTCCGTGTCTTTTTTTCTTCTCCTTCTTTCTCCTCATTTTTCTTCTTAAGGATTTTCGTTACGACTTGGAATGTTGGCGGGGTTGCACCACATGAAGGTTTGGATATGGAGGATTTGCTGGATACAGGCAGTACCGCCTGTGACATCTATGTTCTCGGGTAACCACTGACAGTAGAACTATAACTACTAGAAAGCAAACAATGAGAGTTGAACTTTTGCAGTTCGATCAAATCTTTAATGATATCATTGTCGCCTTCCTCTCTTCTTTCCAGGTTTCAAGAAATTGTACCCCTTAGCGCGTCGAACGTGTTAGGATCAGAAAATAGCAAAATTTTCACAAAATGGAATTCCCTGATTAGAGAAGCTCTGAACAAGAAAATTCGCTGCCGAGACAAAGTCCAGCTTTCCAATGAAGATGGAAAGTCATCAATTGAAAACAGCATCCCAGGTCAAGACTTCCGGTGTATTATAAGCAAGCAAATGGTTGGGATACTAATCTCAGTTTGGGTTCGAAGCTACCTTCGTCCTTATATCCGGCATCCCAGTGTCTCCTGTATAGGCTGTGGCATCATGGGCTGCCTAGGAAATAAGGTGATCATCATCAATCAAAGCATATTCCCAAAGTGGAAAAAATGTTATTGTCAAACAACCTTTTTTCTTTGATTTGTTCTGTATCCCAAAAGGAAAAGTTACTGTGTTATCAACAGTACTACTCATTTTTTCAATTTTGACAGCAACAGAACTAAAATCTTTACTGCTATACCAACATCAGGGTACAAATAGTTTTGAAATAATTACATGGGATTTAATCAAGAGGGTTATTTATCATATCTTTTTTTCCTTAATTCCCCTTTTCAAAATCTTGGTTTGCAGGGTTCAGTATCAGTTAGATTTCGGTTACATGAAACAAGCTTCTGCTTTGTATGCAGTCATCTATCTTCTGGGGGTAGAGAAGGGGATGAAAAGCTTAGAAACTCCAATGTATCCGAAATATTCTCCCGAACAAGTTTTCCTAGAGGCCCTTCACATGATTTGCCAAGGAAAATCCTAGACCATGAGTACGTAAAATTACTTGATTTACTTTTCTTTAATCTTTTTGAAACAGTCCAAAACAATTTCGTTAGTGATTCATGGAGTACAATAATCTAATTATTATCTTCTTAATCAATGTTTCTTTTCACTATAAATCATGAAAATAAGACACGAATACCCAATAAATTATAAACTTTAAACATCATTATTTGATTACTAGTCTCCAACTTTGAATTTGTCCTGTTCAATTAGAGGCCGCCAAAGATATAATATTGTTTCTTAATTATTTTATCAGTGACCTTAATTTGGTATCTACAGATAGTTCTAAATAAGTGTAGTTGTTAAAGTAATTTTAAATTTGGTGGGGGCTAAGTAAACTAATGGTTTGATAAACCAACTGAAAAGGATGATTACTTTACTGGTAAACCGTCTCTTATTATCAAACCCATTTGTTTATGATAAAGTTGTCTTCTTAATCAACAAGTTAAACGATTACTTTTAGGACTATAAACAATCAGCAGTTTAAAATAAATCTAATACAGGAATATATATATCTTGGTGGTTTCAGCTAACCATACCGCGTTCCCTTGCAGTCGGGTAATTTTGCTTGGAGATCTGAATTATAGAATTTCCTTACCAGAATCAACTGTTCGACTCTTAGTGGATACAAGAGAATGGAACGGCCTCCTGGAACATGATCAGGTAACCAAACAATAGAATATCACAGCAAACCCATTTCACATCATTAATCTTCTTTCCTAATTTAATTCTCATTCTGAACTTTGGGATAAAATGTTTCTGCAAATGAAGCTAAGAATGGAGCTGATGAATGGCGAATTTGAAGGTTGGCATGAAGGGTCTATCACATTCCCTCCTACTTATAAATACCGTCCGAATTCTGATGTATACTACGGATGTTTTCATCAAAGCAAAAAAGGGGAAAAGAAGCGTGCCCCTGCATGGTAATTAACCTACTGATTGACATGTAATATTCTTAGAAGTTCAAAGGTTTGAGGCCTTAATAGATTTCCCTTTTGTCTTTTAATTCAGGTGCGATCGAATAATCTGGTATGGGAAGGGGTTAAAGCAACATGTATATAACAGAGGTGAAGAGAAATTCTCCGATCATAGACCTGTCAAAGCATTATTTACTGCAGAAGTTGCGGTTTTGCATTCAATGAAACAATTTCAAAGCTTTTTTTTATCAGACAGGTTTGACAGAATTACAAGCCAGTTAGAGATACCCTCCTCAGCTGATGATTTTCTATGTAAAGGAAGATCAAGCTTCCAAATTTGAAGATAAGATAAAACTACTCTTATCTTCTTGTATAACTGTTTGATGCATGCTAAACTACAGAGAATAGGGTGAGAAAAGAAAATTAGAAAGGATATGAGAGAAGAACTTGTTAATTCTGTGGTTGTTGCACTTAAATTTGCTGATGAGTGTACAGTGATTTTTGTTGCACTTATTCTCCAATTATTTTTATTTTTTCTTCTATATATCTCAGAGAACAAGTCTAAATCATCTTTCTTTTGTTTTCATTAGATTATAAAATTAAAAAAAATTAGGTTTGGTTTTGGTCCAGCAACTACAGTCCAAAATCTGCTTGGTCCTTCTTGCTTCCAACCAGGGTGTTGTATGCTAAACCCCATGCAGTTTATGTTAACCATCAATTAATTTAACGAAAACTTCCTAATGATTAGAGTAGCTTAATAACCAAATTGATTGGCAGACCTGAAGCTCATAATCTTAAAAAAAAAAGATGTCTTCTTTCAGAGGGAAAAAAAAATTGGAAGGAGCATAAACTAGATGACAATAATTGAGTAATTTAGATGAAGACACTGGAGAGCTGTTGGATTTTTGTGGAGCAGTGGGAGAGCATCAAGCCAACCAAATTAATTATGTCTGTTAATTGGACCATCTCTTACTTAATTAATAGTTTAAAGTGATAAATAAGATATGATATATAAATTGCAAGTGGTGCAATAATACTATGTCAGTGTCATGGTACATTTAAGTTCTCATTCAATGGTTTATGAACATAAACCAATGAAATTATTTGGGATCAACTAAAAGACCTATCAAATTGTTGCAATAAAACAAATTTAGATAAGCACTTCCCTAGTGAGGCAATTGACAAAGAGCAAGTTTAATCATATCTGAAATCTCAAAATTATTGATACTTAATGAATCAAAAAAACAATGAAGAATGAATGACAAGACACTGACATACACATGTTTCTTTAACTCATCAATAAACAAAAGCTATTCTGCATCAATTTCTTGAACTTGTAGAAGTCATTGAAGAAATTTATCACGTCCATACGTGACAACTTTATCTCCATTAGATATGCCAAAGTCAAAGAAGTAGCTGCGTATTTCTACAAACTTTTGGTCAGCAGTGACAAACAACCGATTGCGTGCGTGCAGACTTTACTAACCTGCTAGTTTATTAACCTCTTACATGGAATCATAATCCTCAGGTGCATCAAGAGCATATCATAAGCATCCAAACTGGTACAATCTTCTATTTTCTCCACATAAACCCTTTTCTTCTTCGAGGCTGGTTGAGGCATGATATATAATCAGTTATAGAATGCTGTAGCATGTATACAAGGCGGAAAGACAAATCAAAATGTACCAACAGTTTTTCATTTACAACTAAGAGCTTCTCTCTTTGCCTTTAACCAACCTCATTAGCTACTTTTGCAACTGAGGAAGCAACTTCTTTTGCGTCTGCTGCTCTGAGAGCCTTCATTGAAAATCTCATTACAGCCTTGACTAGGCCCAAGTAGTTATAGGTATGCTGCAATAAGGGGAGCAATACAAAGAATGGCCAATTATAGAGTTACATATTGTGCTGTCTCGTCATATAAGATAACAATATAGCCAAGAAAATTGTCAAACCTCAAAAGGTCGTAGCTTATTAGAAATGAGCTCAGCATATTCATACAAGTCATTTTCTGATTTGGGAACGAAATTATCTAGTGACTTCTCAGCACAGCTCTTTGCAAATTGATCACCATAGAATCAGCTCTTCCAACAAGTCTGAAACATGAGGATGAACCTCTAAAATTCTTCATGCCTAAAAACCATCTTAAGAAACCCATGCGCTCTGCATCCAATATGTCTAAAAGATATATCCAAATACTTCAGTCCAGCCCATCCAAAAGAACTCAATCAACAATTCATAATTATGAATTCCTTCAAAATGGATATATGCAAGTAGGATGGCAATCTCAAGTTCTAAGCATGTATTAAGTGTTGCCTTTGAAACTAAAAAGCCAGATATATATATGGTTATAATTATGCTTAAGCTAAGAGAAAGGTTGGGAAATCACAGTGCTACTAATTAAAACATATATATCATTATTCAACCTTTAACTTAGTTGGAAAAGCTATTCTTCAATAGCATTCAATTGGTCTTCCTTTTCTCCAGCAGCAATTTTTCCTTTTTCGTCAAAAACTTCTGAGACAACTTTGTTGGTGCCCTTAACTCAGAGGAGGTCATTTCACAGGTACCTAACAACATTATACAATTTCAAATATAAATAATTGCTACCCTTACTTTACCCATATAAGTTACATAATGTACAAATATATACAGACTTAATACTGCTTTGCCATCCTAACTTCCAGTGACGCTTTTCATACCTTTGCAACAAATTTCAAATCCTGATTTCATCGATTTTAATAAATTAGCTTAAGCCAACTCTTGAAAGTGATTATTTATATCATATTTAATGTGACAAATAAGCATAGATGCTAAAGTCTATACATAAACAAGTTAAGGAATCTGGTGAAACAACAACGCACTTCTAATTCTTGTCATGTGGTCTTGTATAATATCTTGCACTCTTTATAAGCATGCAAGATTCATGCCCTGAGAGAATGTCAGCTAGATGCACTTTAAGAGAAAAGGGGAAAGCGACAGCGTACCAGAGTACTGTCATCCTCGTCGTCCCATGACTCTTTGACTTTGTTCTCCTTCACCATCTTCATCATCCCAGCAACTTGGATGTTGCCACTTGCTGAGAACTGGGCAATGGTCCATCCTCCGCAACAATAGCAGAAAACCAAGATAATACACGAGCTGCAAAGCTCAAGAAATACAAATCCTTGGTCATACTACCAATATCCAAAACCTCTATTTATCCTGATTCAGACACCTCTTCATGAAGAAATTTGCATGTAAAGTGAGGGATCCATTCGTTACAGGTAATTGAATATCAATATAAGGTACGGAGACTAATGGGAAAGCTTCATATTCATCTTTCTCTTTCATGTACATGCTTGTGTGCACATGAGGGGAAATAAATTGATGTAAAACCAAACTTTGAACCAAAGCTCTTGTATCTCAAATAATGGGACAAATAATGGAGAAAAAGAGCGTAGAAAGCCCAACCCAATTGTAGTGGGCCCAAAAAACTTTAGTATAAAAATAATAAAATATAAGAAGCATGCCACGTGGCAAACAGACTCTTCTCCTTTCGAAATCAAAAACTCCCGCAAAACTGGTTCACTCTGTCAGAGAAATGATTCGACTGCGAAAGAAATCGGTGGAGTTCCTTATTCAATCTTCTCAGGTAAGTAATTTTCTCAGATAAAACTATTCGATGAAGCAAATCAAAAATCTCCTTCATTAAATTTATTTTCTGTTGTAAATTAAAGCAACTCCAAGCTACTCCATTAGTGAAATACACTGCTTTATCTCTCTTCGCTGACCGATTTCTCCCTTCTCTCACCACGTAAATCTCCTCTGTCTCTCTTCTTCAATTCCATCAACTTTTTCTTTTAAAGAAAAAAAATTCTTAAATTTTACTGTTCTTTGTTTATTTTACAGTTTATTAAAGCAGGGAAATGAGTTGGGAAGCTGGCTTCTACGATCCATGGAAGACAGCAATTTGCAGTTATTTGCCCTCATTTCAATATGGATCTCAAGTAAAGTTGAGTTTTTACATCTCATGCTTCTCTTTT